CCCCAAAACCCCAAAACCCCAAAACCCCAAAACCCCAACCTTTTTTCTTAAAATCGAAATTCTCTTGCTTCTTAACTAATAAAAATAAAGCTACGAATTCAAAATGGAATTGAAAAAGTTAGGTTCTGAGTTTTATGCATGGTTATGGAGGAAACAACCCCATACAAAAGAAAGCACTCAGAGAATATCTATACATTGTTGCTTATTCATACCCTTTGATGTCTTTGCCTTCCTTTTGTTAATATTCATTGAGTCAAGCTGGCTAACTAAAGAAGGATATTTCCTGAAATCAGCCCTCCAGTACTTACTAGTTTGGGATATTACCATGTATTTAATTAGACTCTCTCATGTCATGAAGGAGTTCAGAGAGATATAAACATATTAATAGCGTATCACAATGTAACTCACATCTGCCTTTGAGTTATCTTTCTTCGATCTGATTGCTTGATATAAAAACCCAGGCTGGCAAATCCATTGGGTTCTTCAATAAAATCCTGCTATTCCTTGCTTACTTCTTCATCTTCTGCAGAACAATTTACCATTCAGTGATGATCGTTTATACCATCCTATGAGCTCCATGAATTATAAAGTCGATTCTGGAAGGGATAAGAGAAGACCAACATTTTTATATTGAACAAGCATCTATTTCATCGCTAAATGAGATTATTATGAATGAAGTGAACTTGAATAATGATTATCGTGCTCGTCAAAATCATCTCCAGCTAAACCTTATCCAAGAAGAACACAAATACCAAACTCATAATCATTGGTCATATGACCCCCAAGTTCTAAACTCTAATCCTCCTCGAGCATCTTCACAAATCAGACACCCGCCCAGAAATTCCCGCAACGCCAGGCCTTCATCTAACCCTAGAAACTCACTTCATACAAACCCAAATTCCAACGATCCATTATCCAGTCTCATCGAAGTAAAATATTCAAGCCAACGTTCAAGACTCAAAGGTAGAGATTGCCCAATCTGCCATGACCAATTCGGTCCAAGTTCAAAACAAAAGTTAGCCTACCTCCCTTGCAGTAGAGAACATATCTTCCACTCAAAATGTATCAAGCAATGGTTAAGGAATAAACCAGAGTGTCCTATCTGAAGACTGGGGATATCCTAAAGAGGTTCTTTATGGTATAGAATTTACCATTTTCAATATCATGATTAGTTAAAGGGGTTTTGGGGTTTTGGGGTTTTGGGGTTTTGGGG